TAAAAATTAATGAAATTAATGAAAAAATCCAAAAAAATTAATGAATTGTAATTCTTTTTAATGATCCGTGGAAACCCTGGATCATTATATATATATATATATATATATATATATATATATCATTAGTTACTTTATTAAAATTGTCCTACCCATCTAACATGAAACAATTGTGTTAAAGGTTGCGTTATTTTTTTCTGTGTAAGATGAAGGGGAGGTAGCATGAATCTGTAGGGGTTTGGTTCAGTGTGATTTGCAGACCCTACCCCAGAGGTCAAGGAGAATGTGAGTGAGATCCGAGAGCACTGGTACTTGCAAGAGATGTCATGCTGGAGAGCAGACAAGCAGGTGAAGAAGACTGAGAACTGTTGCACACAGGTAAGGCCTTTTTCATGAAGTTTGGAGAAGGATTGAGGTTCACTGGTTGTCTTGAACAATAGCAGTGTTCAGATTAAAAGAAATAAAAAAAAAGAACATTTTTGACAAGTTCTTCCTCGTTTAGGTCTTTGGCTGGAATACCATCAGGGGTAATCCTCCGGCGAAGAGAGATGATCCTTCGCTTCCTTATTTACACACTAGTCATCTTGATTGAGCAAGGTTATCAGGTGTACAGCAACACAGGTCGGTCGAGCCATCAGCAGAGATCCTCTCTGTGACAGTAAGCTAACTGATACCAGAAAAAGAAAAACCCAGAGAACCTAACAGGGTTGCTTTAGCAACAACCCACTAAAACTCAGATGCCCACATACTACTCAGAAATAACAAAAAATATCCAAGTGCTGTTCCTTTTAAAGACTCTCCAGATAAAAAATAAAACATTAGAGCTATTTTGATTAGTTGGTAAGAGAGTTATAATAAATATCAAGACGGTAAATAGATTTATTTCACCCACGTGATGCAAGCTGGCTTTAACTCTCTGAAGGACATGCTAGGTAACATTTGCCAAGGGGGCAGAAGCATCTACTCCAAGCATGTCCCACACAGCACACTGTATTATGAGAGCAGCAGAAGCTGCAGTGATAAGGACTCACTTTGGTGTTCATTTCCACTGAAAACTAGAGCAACCTTGCATATCCTGGCTCATGGGGTTGCTTGATTGGCTGCCAGTTTGATAATGAAAATTAATGTGAGTGGACACAGGCAATTACCCCTAATCATCTCTCTCCAGCCTAATGAACAACTGTTTCAGCAGTTTTTTTTTTTGTTTTTTTTTTTTGTTATTCTAAATCTCACAGTTTAGAGAATAGGATGATCTCCTTTGACCATGTCCGGATGCTGTCCTGTTAAATGCTGTATAAGGTAATTATTTGGTAATATCAGTGGTAAAGTTCAACCAGAGGCCATGATCTAGAGCCAAAATGATTGTACTGTGTTTGGACCTTCAAAACATGTTGTAGCCCCAGGGTTTAAGACATGCGCTACATTATACAAAGTTTTTGTTTAGTCAGTGCAGTTGTATTGATTGGTAGCCACAGGAAGCAAGCAGCATCAATGGCAAATCAATTACACATATGCAGCATATAATCAAATTTCTACAAAACTGCTGAGCTGTAACAAAATCTTCGATTGACAGTAATGCTAGTCCTTTATGGTGTTATCATTGCAAAATGAAGGAAGCAGATGTATTGAGAGATAGGAACCAAGAGTAATATTATTTATACTTTATTATTACATTACTGTAAAATTAATCTAACAGACAAAGGTAACACATAACCCACCAAACAACAGACGTCATTTAGACGATGGGTTTTAGGCTAAATATGGTTGGTCCGTTATAGTCTCATAGTCCATTATAGATTTTTACCATAGATGTTGAAAATTGGACTCTGTTTGGTTGGTTTGATTTTTGTTCCAATTTAGTCAAATAATAAACGTTAAAAAGACGCTGAAAAGCCATTCTTTAACCTCTTTTTTTTTTTGGCTCGGTGGGAATTTAAAGAATATTGCCTCATGAAGATCAAGAAACATAACAGACAGGCCACAGAAAAAGTTGTGGAAACATTTAAAGTATAGTTAGATTTTAAAGCAACACCCATTGCTTTGGGAACCTCACAGACTTCCTTTGCGGTACAAGTGCTAAAGGCATGGCTTTCACAGGTCAGGCAAGGATGACAGATAATACATACATGAAGCTGAAGAAATGCTTTCATGGAAAATGCAATGTGAGCAGACAAATGGAGAATGGCGGTGGCAGCTGCCTGATAAACCAGACTAAATGTGAGATTAAATTGGTAATTTAGTCTGGCCCTGATGAATGAGACATCGGAAGATTGTTGATGAGAACAACCCAGTGTCTTTCAAACCGCTGTCTGTGGCTATTGGCCAATGCTCTGACCAATGAGCGGAACAGACTCTGACGTAGTAAGCGCGACAGAAAGTTGGTGGGGGAGTGTAAACAAACAGCCTGTCGGTAAAACGGCGAATACGTCCTTCTTAAAAATGAATGAGCGTAGAGCCTCTTCCCGCTCACGTTTCAACGAAAACCCCAAGTCTAATCCTTCCAAATCTGATTCCAAAGCAGAGTCAAATGAGAACTGTGACATAGTTGTTGCCATCTTGCTTGCTGTGATTTTCTCCAGCATCGCGCAGCTTTGTTGTCATGCCCTCAAAACCACGCCCGCTTTGCATCCAGAAATTCAAAACACATCTCTGCGTTGTGATTAGCCCGCCAGTTCTAGGGCCTGGGGCATTGATCAAGGCTAGACCACTCGCAGGCAAAAATTACTTTGGCCGCTGACAGGTGAGGCTAGTTTACTAGGCTGGGTGGCAGCATCAATTTGTGGGGATGCATTTATTTAACAGGACAGTTAAATATCATAGGGGTGATGGATGGACTTAATTATAGAGAAATTAATAAAAAAAAAAAAAAGCCAGAGTTAGATTGGTCTAATCCAAGTCAAAATCCGGAATCAAATGACAATCAGTGGCTTGAAAACTGATGCATAATGTATTGTCACTCCAATGTGACTGTATTTTATTGCAAACAACAGAAGACTAAAACTTAGACCTCTAGTTACTAACCCCCAATCCTTGTTGTTTAGTTACAATACCTTAGGTCTCTACACATGGGTGGTTCTAGACAGGGACCCCTGTAGATCATGTCCTGGCCCCTGTTATGGGTCCTTTACCGAAGACATAATACTCAAAGAAATTCTAATGATGATCTACGCTGAAAAAGACATGGTTACGATAGGTCATTTGGATCTATTTCCTTTTTTCTTTACAGATTCTGTTAGGGTTCCAGTTTTAGGGGGTTGTTTTGTTCTTTTTCAGTTCCTCCATGCATCCACCAGATGGTGCCATTGTTCTCAGATGGTCTGGAGGGCTTCGTGTTCTTCTCAACCTCTCACACATTGCAGCCTATTTGGTCATCACTTCCTGAGGAGTATTTAAGCAGCAGACTGTCTTCACTTCCTGGCCAGAGTGTTTGCCAGTATTGGTTACTCAAGCCCCTCAGAGTTTGCTGAGACATTCTTTGAGTTCTTGTTTCATCTGAGCTTTCTAGCGCTAACCAAGTTTGTCTTTTTGCAGGATATCAACTGATCCACTGGATAAGCCAGGTCCTTCTGGTCTTGGAAGGGACTCTCTTGTCACGCTGAGAAAAGTAGACAGATCTCCTTATCTGAACACCGTTCACTTCAGGAACATTGTGACAGTCTGCTCAGCTGCTCCTCAGGACCACCATAAACCCTAAATCCAGACATCAGCCAGTTTTCCCACAGTCCTTGAACTCACCACTTTGATCTCCCTCTAGAGTTTCCGGTTCCAGTTCACCAGACCGCTGGATTTCCCACAAGCTGAGAAACCCATGTTTTGTCTCTCAGAGAACCCCCTTTGTGTTGTCTCTCTGAGTGCCGCAGCTCACAATAAACTATTTAACTTTTACCAGCCTCTGAGTTGTTTCTGCAAGTGGGCTAACTTTGAAAACCCATCATGACAGATTCTGTTTTCATAATTATTTAAAAACAATAAGGCGATAATAAGGCTTCAGAAGTATTGAGATATGATCCCAGTTTTCATCTGCCAAATGTTTTTAAAAAAATATTTTTTTTTTTTTTTTTCCGGTTGATTTTTTCGTTTTTTTTGGTTTTTATTTGGGTTTTTTTGGAAACCGGCATTTTTACTTTAATTTAGTTGAAAAAAAAGTAAAATTCCTAAATCATAAATGTATATTTACCTAATAAGACATAGAATTTTAATTAAGCCTAATTGAATAGAACTTTCACTTAATGCAGCCATTTTAATATATTTGAATCCCTTGCCCTGCTTTTATATTTCATGCTTTTCTTGGCCCCCATGAAAACAATGCTGGCCCCCTCCTGGCCCTCTGGTACATTTTGTCTAGTACTGCCACTGTTTCTACCGTTTTTGAGACAAACTGGGGATGTAAACCGAGTTTTAAATCCATAGAAGGAGCATGATAAAAATGTGTTCTCTTGGGTTTTACAGGAGATCCTTTGCAGCCGTACAGCGTGAGGGCACGCACATTAGTTCATTCTGCAGAAAGCGAAGCAACACTACATTTTATGGTCATTACACTAAAAAGTGGCCTGCGGCGAAATGTGCCCCCTATCACATGGAGGCATTACTTTATGGTCCACTCGGAAGGGTGTGTGTGTGTGTGTGTGTGGTTTGTTTGATTCCAGGGCATCTAGATCTGTGAGTTTATAAAATACTAGGTTTAATTGTTATTAAATGGCGCAAATAAGAGGAGCAACAGTTCTGTGAAAGAAGATTGTTTCCTTGTTTTCTATCACTTAGGGAGAACAACCTGCTGCCCGGCTCTGATTTGGTCATCACCTCTGTGCTTTGGTGCAGCCTGTGCAGTGCGCGCCCCTGTGCTCCTCCTTTCTGAACTGTAGTACCCAGCGGGACGCTCCGCAGTTCGCTCATCCCGCTCCTTCCCCTTTGCTTCATTTTACGCGCTCCGCGTCTCTGCGTCCACAGCGCTTCTGTCAGGCTTCGGAAAGCTGCCGGACAGTCCGCGTTCCGATGGCAAAGCGGTCCATGTGATCGCTCAGTGTAAAGGATTAAAACCTTTTTTTTTGTTCTCCCTCCATCTCTTTATCTTCTCTCTTTTTTTTCTTCCACACTCATTTTCCACATAATGTGGGACGCGCGTCGTGTGCGCGGAGTGCTCCCCTCAGCCGTAGCCGCCTAACTGAAGGGGGATCCCAGCTCGGTTTTCCCACCTTAGGATCCAGAGTAGTTTGCATGAAAAGGCTGGTTTACAGCGGCAAGGTAAGAATGGCTATTTTGATGAAATATTATGAATATTTTTAACCTATTATTACTTTAGTGCTCTAAGGAATGTGTAGGCTGTCAGAGTGCTGATACTGGAGGTAGTTGGTGGATTGTTAGGAGATTCACAGTGACTATTGAATAAATAGTGTAACAGGTATGCCGCAGTGTTATATATATATGGTTTATTTCACCATGACCCTTTCCTACAGACATATTATAGCATATGCCAACCATTCAGCTTGTGCGTGCAAAATTTGTTATTCAAATCAGCCAAAACCAAATGTAACTAAAACCTGTTCAAGAAAATTCTTTCATGTGAAAGGCAAACAATCTCACGATTTTACATGCTTAACTCCCAAATGTAATTTTTAATTGTTAGGTCAGTTTATTTATTTATTTTTTCAAAACAAATGCACAACAGCATATCTAACTGAATGCAAATCTATAATCTATGAATAAAACAATTTGATTGATTTTATGTGGCAGATTCCAGTTTCCACTAGGCTAACATACAATGTGTTTGTGGTTTGATATCAGTTATCATAGTGTACAATTAACTTTGAATTCACTTCAGAATAAAATGGCAATAGGTTTTAAAATGATTTATCTAAGGGCTGCCAACAAATTTTAAGTAAAAGTTTTTAGTAAAGTAAAAGCCTTAGCATTCTGATAGGTGTGATTAAACTTCAGAAATTTCTGCTAAAACCAAGAGATTGCTCTTTAAAGTTGGATTTTAAGAAAGTAATTTTGTAGGAGTACTGTAGTGAAATTATATTGACTCACTATAAATACATTCTGCATAGACTGGCAAAGTGAAATCATTGATTTGGCCAAATGCTCTCTTAGAAATATGATGAACTGGATCAATAACCCTGTGCAGCTGTCATAATGTTTGACTTGAAGACAAGTGGTACAAAGATTTAACACCCGGTGTTCCATTTCTCCTTACTAAGAAGTCGTCTCTTTTTGTTTCTTTTTTTTTCAGCCATGGAGGGACTTGCCTAGAGAGGATCCAACATAATTCAAAAGTTTCATACATTTCCCCTTCATATTATTCTTTGCCTGTTCAACGTGGTAACATCTATTGAGAAGTATCCTTTTCCATTATCATGGCCGAGAAGCTTGGATCAACAGGGCCTAAACCCAACAACATCCGAACTTCACCATCATTACCCCCCGAGCCTATCGAAATCATTCGCACCAAAGCCCGCTCACGAAGGGTCCGCCTTAATGTCGGTGGCCTGAACCATGAGGTTCTGTGGCGGACCCTGGATCGCCTACCAAGGACCCGGCTCGGTAAGCTCCGGGACTGCAACACCCACGAGTCCCTCATGGAGATCTGTGATGACTACAGCCTAAATGAGAATGAGTACTTCTTTGACCGGCACCCGGGGGCCTTCACCTCCATCCTGAACTTCTACCGCACAGGCAAGCTGCACATGATGGAGGAGATGTGTGCCCTCTCTTTTGGCCAGGAGCTGGACTACTGGGGGATCGACGAGATCTACCTGGAGTCTTGCTGCCAGGCCCGCTACCACCAGAAAAAAGAGCAGATGAATGAGGAGCTGCGGAGGGAGGCTGAAACCATGAGGGAGAGGGAGGGAGAGGGAGAGTTCGATAACACCTGCTGCCCAGAGAAGAGGAGGAAACTTTGGGATCTTCTGGAGAAGCCCAGCTCCTCCGTGGCTGCAAAGGTAAGAATCCAAGACTGCAAAGGGAGTTTGTACCTCCTCAGCCTCACATTTCCTAGTCTCAGTCCAAGCTGAACACTCTGGTTGCATAATAACACATTGCAAGCATGCTTGTTAAAGACCAACTCCCACGTGCGCTTCAAAACATGCCCATGAGTTCATCAGCTCGAATGTGATACGGTCAGTAGAAACAGTGGTTAAGTTTTAAAAGCAAAGCTTTTCTGAGGATAAAACAGAGGGCCGGAAAAATAATTGTGTCTGCTTTTTATCTAAATTACTGCTGATCAGTGACTTGACTAAGTTTTTAATAAGAAGAGATACGTTTCTTCCCTGATACAGCTTCATTTTGTGTCTTGGTGACAGTCTTCAGTGACTTGATGATGGAGTAGCTTCTCATGGCTATATTAATGCCTGTTTTATATGTTTTCTTACATTGTCCACTTTCAAGCAAAATAAGATTGTCTGTCTTCAGAATATACTATATCTAATATATTAAATGATTAAAGTTTCATTTACTACTGCTTAGAGATTACAAATCCTATTTACTAGGTTCACACCAAGACTTGTCAGTTTTAAAGAACAATAAGTTCTTGACATTGTATGTCACTGTCCAGTGGCCTTATCTTCTTACCATACAATGCTTGCATAGTGAGGTCTTGTGTGACTGCTTACGTGTAAAAGTCAGAGACTGAGACTAGAATACCGTCAGCTCTAAGGACTTCAAGGTAATTCACCGAATAGCATAAAATAATAAAGGCGCTAGATGCTTTTATATACATATAAATATATATAGTGGGATTGTTCAATTTGATCTATGTCATACACATGACAATATGACCAGTTTCTGTGAAGTTTCTGGTCAAAGGAAAATTGACTAATATCAGTTATTGGCCAACTGAGTCGCACATCTAAAAAAGGACTTATAAGGAAAATAACAGCCAGCCTCCAAGGAATAATACAGGAGGTTATACTCTGTTGTAGGGTTGTGTTGTACCTCAAGGCTATACATCAGTTTTTTCTTAGCCTTTTGTATAATAGGATGTTCTTCCAAGTGAAAGAAGACAAGATGTTATCTGTCATAAGTTGATATATTTATAGCAAAAAAAGGAGGGAGATCTTTATTTTGATGGATTTAGTTAACAAGGAGAAAGAATTTGCTGAACACAAGTGATCACAACAGTAAGGTTAAAAAATGCTCCACTTTTTCATAACATCACTATATAGTAAAAGTATATAACATGTTTCAACATTTGTAATACAAAACTCTATTTGTTACATACTGGTTGTACAGGAATAACAGCACAATCATAAAGCAGTGATCCTTAAAGCTGAAGGTACAGTACCAAGAATAGAAAATACTTTTTTCTTTAGTTTTTGAGCTGCTGATTACTGATCACAGCTGTTTAAGGGTAAAACTGACTGATTCCATTATTTGGCCTATAGACTGGCGTGTCTCTAGTTCTTGCCTTGTCTTAAAATAAAAGGTGTAAGTCTTATATTAGCAGCTAGCACACTGTTTTTAAAAACTAAGACATCATTCAACAGCAATGAAACATAATGGCTCTTAGTGGACAGAGGTTGTTTATCCCATTGTTGTCTATTATGCAAACCACTCTCTCCTCCTGCTTTATTGACAAATTCCCTATTTTCAGTAATTCAAACAGTGGTTGTGATTGACACTGATCCTGTCTCAGCTTGATTACAGCATTCATCCTTTACAGTGAAGCTGTTTATCATATGAATTAATTAGACAGAGACTGCCGATATCTAATTTAGGGCCGACTCATGTGACAGCAGTTGAGTAATTTGCTATGCTGTGCAACGTCTGAAGTGATTTACTCCCCAATACAGTTCCTTTTTTGACTTCAGACACATCTGTGTTTTGCTGACTTGTACACTATCATGAGGGGGAAGCCCTTGGTTCCTGGAAGGGAAATCCCATCCTAAATCAAATTGAATTACCATCCTGCTGACAGGCCTATGTGGAGGGCCTGATCATGATTTCAATAGCTTAGGCTATCTGCAGCTGAAAGTCATACAGAAGTAGAGTACTGTGACTGCATAGTCATAAAGCAGCTCCCCGAGTTGAGGGAAGCCTTTAACCGCTCACACATCATGCAGTGAGCTCTTTTGAAAGCTCCTGACTGAGGAAATGCCATTACTAGTTTCGCTACACAGCCATGTGCTTTCATACAAGGCAACTAAAGCTCTTTGTCAAATGCAATTTGTCTTCTGGCACACACATTTGCCCTTTCCTCTCTTCTCTCCTTTTCCTTTTACTCAGTCTTACTCTACAATTAGAGTCAGTTCTGATGCTTTATGCCACATACAACCCCTTTGGCCTTTAAGTAAAGGTTATGCACGGAGGTTGTTACCTTCCCCATGGGGTCATTCAAACCATTTCATACAATTAGGTTTACATGAACTTGCATTTTAAACTGAAAAGATAGAAATCCAATGTGTGATAAAATAAAGCTAATGTAATAGTAGCTGTGAAGAGGTGCCCAGAGAAGCTGCAAGCAATACAGGAAAGATGGAGGCAAAGAAAGTGGCAGAACAAAGCTTTAAGTTATCCAGCTGGTGCACTCACAAGTTCTTCCCAGGGTGCTGGTCCTGATGATTGCAAACCTTTAGTGATGAATTATAAAATGAAACTGTAAAAAAATGCAGTGTGTTTTATGTGTTACTGTGTATTTTCTTTTGAAAAAAATAGTTGGATTCAGAAAAAATGACTAGCACTACCAAATGCTTGTTTTTGTGAGATGTTAGGAGTCCATGGAAAAGAGAGTAACTTTGTAAAAAAGAAGTCCTCCCCCAAGATCTTTGACTTTAGGGAATATACTCGTTAAGCACAACAGGGGATGAGGCTTGTTTAACTGGCACAAGGCTAAGTGATGTTGTGGCTTCTGAATTCTAAGAACGGGGGCAAACCTTTTGTTGACTGTGTTGGCAAGAAATGATAAGTATGTTTATGTCAACATGGCCTCTCACAGATAAAGCTACTGGAAAACATGTGTTATTACAATGCAATGTTCATCCTTCATTATTACATTTGCATAAATGTTATTTGAATGCATTCTACCAGCACAAATATTTTTTGCACAGTACTAACCCCATTATGGTATAAACACTTCTCTACAGCAGTGGTCCACAAACATTTTCTGCTTTCATACCATAAAATGCTGGTTAAGTATATTACCAAGTCACAAAAAATGTTTTTATTGATTGCAAAAATATCACCCACATGCAATTTAATATTTTCATATGTTTGTAAATGCTGTCTAATTTCTGTAACATTTATAGCATTTATGCATTCTAAATATATTTTTCATCATTTAGGCTGATATTTGATGCAGATATCAAGATCACACACTCTTTCATAACTCCCAACGGAGTCTTAACTCTTAATCCTCTTGACATGACTTGGCCTTTGCCTTTAAGGTGCCACAATATTTAGGTGCCTTTAGGACACCCGAGCAACTACAATATTCACCCCACAATACTCACAGGTAAGAATGCATATGGCTGCCACATTATGTATTTCATGGCCTGATTCTATAGAGCTGTTTTAGTAGCTAAAAGGGACCAGCTTAAATAAGGACAGGTGGTTATAACAGTAAGACTGATGCTAGCTATAGGAGCCAACATCTGGCTTTTTTCTGTTCGGGTTTATTCTTACATTTTTACTAAGTAAAACCAATGCCTAATTTCTCATGTTTAAATGACTAAGGCCTCATGCTGTGGCAGCTCTTGCATGAATTATACCCTTAATAAGCTCTTCCTTGTTCTGCTTAACAAACAACCAGACATGGCTACACAAAAAGGTATAGTTTTAGTATGCAAGTTATTGGAAACATTAAGAAATGAAAATAGTGACAGACAGACAGACAGACAGACAGACAGACAGACAGACAGACAGACAGACAGACAGACAGATAAAGAATCTATTGACCTGTCATTATAGTATAATTCTCCCACTGTTGTTAATCTCAGTTGTTTCTAATGCAAAAAAAATATTTTTGTTTGTTTTCTAGAAATCTGAAATAAATGTTTACTGAATCTTTCATTTTATATTTATGAATAGAAAACACTGTAAAATTGTACATTGTAATTGACAAAAACTTAGAAATATTTCACCCAAATTTTAAGATTTCTGTGAATGTATTACTTAATTTAGTACATTTACTTTTTAACGTTAATTTTAACGCAAAGCTATTAAATAAAGTTTAAATAATTCAAATTCATTTGTATAATAAATTATGTGTATTCGAAAGACATTTTAGATAGGCTCAGAACCTTGATGAACTGACTGTGCAGATAAGGTTTTGAGGTGTACTTTTTTGCTTAAAAACATATTACGGATATCCTATACAAAGCTCTATCTCTTCAATATATGAAAGGTTTTAAAGCTACAGTACACTTAAGGAATGGGACAATAAGATTCAGTTAAGTAAAACCCCAGAAAATTTAGATTACCAGCGTACATGTGTATCAAACGGCTACCCAGGCTTAAAATAGCCCCAGGCTTCTGGGGTTTTTAAGAGGCATTATAAAAGGGGTTATAGTGTGACTTCATTTTGCTGCAGTTACTAACTTATAATATGCAAGAGAAAAGTCACTTTCAGTTTTTTACAATTTTTTTTAGGTAGAGCTAATTAAATTGTGTTGACACAAACATTGCATGTTCAATGTTTTCATGAAATAAAATTCTCATTTTTATATATTTTTGGGTTAGCATGCTGCTAACATGCTGCCCCTGAAGATAATAGAAAAGCATCTATGGGCATTTTAAAGAGATCACTGCTTCTTCCTTGCAGAGTCAGCCAGCCACATGCCCCCCTCACACAGCAGCCATGTCCAGCCTTGTTCTTGCTCCTTAATGTGGATCTGCTCCATTACTCTCCTCTTTATCTAATAAGCTAGTCTAGCTGGTGGAAATAAGCAATGGGCCAGTATGCACACAGCCTTTTGCCATTCAGTTCTGCAGTGCTTGGTCCTCTCCA